CTCTGTCAAATCTTATCCAGTATTGCAAGATGATATGTGTGCATTGTACTGTCTGCGAGATGATATGGCAGAAGACTTTAATTGATCTTATTATCCTCTTTCAATTTCCAACAACTGTAGAGTACAAGAAAACTACCATAGTATTTTCAAATTTATATTTTCCTAACAATATGCTTATGTTTTAAACTTGTTATTTGTTACAGGCATTGTTGGTCTCTCCTGTCTAGTCTTGGCCTTCTTTACCTGGGAACTTGAACAAGGTAGAGCAAATTGACGTGCATCAGAAAACTCCAGATGCATCCCAGGGTGAACATGAGCCAAGAAATTATCTCACTATAGGATCTTGTAACCACTGCTTAGCTCAGGCAAATGAAATAATAATCATGTCTATTGTTGGGTCTGAAAAAGAAATGTGCCACTTTCTACAGAAAAATAAGCTTCATGCAATGCTAAAGGCAAATAAAACGTGCATATGCCTACAGACATCGCTTAGGAGCGTTCAGAGGGACACTGATCACAAGAGGAGTGGCTTATTCTCATGCCTCAAGCACAGGTTGATGGAGTTGTGCTCTCAAGAGATTTACAGAAACGTGCCTGTGAATGATGAAGCAGAGGCCCTGAAAGAGAATTTCTATGGAGCTGTTACTAACCCAAACAGTCTGGGCCAGTGGGGAGATTTAAAGACTACAGCACTGCATGACCTTTCAAAGATTGATAACGGTGGATTTTCTTTTAGAAGAGAACAGAATGAGGTGAAAATCAGAATGAAATTCAAACTCCAGAAGGAAATATAGAGTTTGATTTTCCATTGTCATGCATTTAATGAGGATATATCTGAGTAAATCAGTGACCATAAGCAAAATTCAGGGACACGTTATACCTCCTGTATGCTAGTGTACATGGCTATAAAAAAAAAAAAAAAGTAGTGATGACCAGGTCCAAGTAGGAGATTGTCATGGTTTCCTAACCTTGCAGCCAGGTTAAAAGTAAAACCTATACAGGATAATATTGGACTAATATGAGGTTGGGAGAAGAAAGTAGTATATTTGGTTTGACTGAAAAGCAGAGGAACAGTACAAAACTCAAGATTTTCCTACCCTATCCTTCAGAAGGCTGATGAATATTTTTAATCAGCAACAAAGTTACCTTTAAAAAACCCCTCACACTCACTCAAATTACACATGCACAGTACTCCTGGGTAACAGTATGCCATTGAGGGCAGAGGCATTTGAATAACTTTACCATTAGAGGGGTTATCTTTAGAATAATACAATGCTATCACAGCATTCTGCAATACTCTCTGTGAAAGGGATCTTGACAGGGATCCTCCAACTTCTTAAGAACAAGAGCAAGAAATGTGTCTTGGTTTTGTAACTGGGATGATGGAGTTGATCGGAAGCTTCTGCCAATATAACACAAGAGTACTTAATGATGAAGAGCTACCCTTATCAGCTGAAGTCAAGAGAAGATGAATGCCAAAAAATGGTAGTTTTTATGTACCTAAGCTAGCAAAGGGGATGGGTGTTACAGCTGGCTCCTATGAGACAGAACCACAGGAAAAGCAACTGCAAAACATTGGCATCAAACCTAACATGATTACTTGTGAAACTAGAAGACACAGGAGTTCAGAAACAACAAATGGGAAAGGTAAACAGTCTCCATTCAGGATCTTCCTGGAAATCAAAACTGGGTGAGAGAAGATGAAACCAAATGGAAAAGTAAAATGAAAATAAGGGGACGTGACTAGTTGACTATAAAATTTAATTTGCTTCCAAGATTAGAATCCAACTAGGTGGACTGTCCTGTAGTGAACAGCTGGAATAGAAGGACAGCACAGGGAACTGCTGAGTGAAATCCTGAGAAAACTAACAGTGGCTTTGAAAATACAACTGATGAAAGCAGAAAGAAAAATAAAGCAGATATATTGTGCGCTCACCAATAAGCACACTAATGCTCATGAAGAAAAAGAGATTTACTCCAAAAGCATTGCTCCGCATGTTGTGACAAGCAGCTATCACCTGGGAGCAAAACCACAGGAAATGCAATTATAACAAATAGTGTCAGATGCTAGAAAATTGTCATAAGTCTGCAGTGTCTAGGTAGTGAACGTTTATCATCCTTCCCACAATATTTCCAACATAAGAAGGACGAAGGGTCCAAAGGCGAAGTCCTAAAGAACAAAAACACCTTACATCTGTCCTTAGCCCTCAAGACTGTAACAAGCCTCCCTCCTATTTTCCACCCTGAATTGCAGAATTTATTTCCCACTGAGGGAAATAAACGTGATGTGATGGAGGCCACAGGATTACATGTGCAGAGACATTTAAAAAAGGAAAGAAATGCCAATTCTTCTTCAGGTCTCCCTAATGAGACAGGAGTGGTAAAGAACTCAGAAGAAAAAATCCTAGCATTGAATTCGGTAGACAGCGGGGACTAGTTTTTGAAAATACAGCACAATACTTCAGCCAAAGCCAGGAATGCAAAATCCAGAACAAAAATGTAACTATAGTAGAAATGTCAAGGATTTGGGAAGCACATGAAAACATTCACAAGGAGGCCTGCCTGTTCTAAATCCTGTAACTCAGCTGCTGTGGCCCAGGTTTCTGCAAAGAACGATACAATTTCAACACAAATGAACACTGTTCCCTGTTAGAGTTGCCAAGTTTATATCTGAGCATTCAGGTTAACTGGCAGTTAACTAGAAGTAAAAAGAAGAAATTGATATTGCAGACTACCTGAACAGGACTGATAACACTGGAGAAGATGGAACAAAACTAGAGAAAAGAGGAAATACAATGCCACTTAATGAAAATGAAAACATTATTTTTCAGACACACAAACAATCTCAGATACCAAAACAGAAAATATGCTACAAATTTTGAATAATGTGAAGAGCAAAATGTACCAACACTACCAACAAAGTGCCAGGTTACACCTAGTACAGCCAGTAGCCTCAGTCCTACAGAAAATGGAAATATATTACTGGGCAGCGATACCAGTCTTCAAATTAACAGTGCTGTGCATACAGAAGACATGCAGGATTTGCATGACTTTAAAAACAATCACCAACCTTATCAAGACAACCATGACCTTGAAGAAGCTGAAATGCTGCTGGAAGAACATGAAGAGGCTTTGTTACCATAATTAGGAGACGGTAGTTTTGAGGCAGAAAATGAGGTGCCTTTAATTCCTTGCAGAATATATGAAGCTGAAAACTCCACTACAAAAGCTATATTGTACCCACCATCTGCGGAATATGCTAATGCATCACCTTTGGAGGCAAAAGAAAGTGAGGAAAAAAACGTCACGACACTGTTCTTTTTCTTTCTTCAAATGTACAGACAAACTGCCCCAGCTTTCCTGAAAGTTATTAGCATCACTGTAGTGGGAAATTTCAACAAGTCCAAAACCATAAAATAGTTTTTGATTAAAGTATCGTAAAAAATTAAAGGTAATTCAACTCAAGTAATTTTACTCAATTAACTGAACAGTGGTTTTGGTAATGGGAAGACTCAGACAGGAACCACATCTAGTTGTGTCAGAGCCAAACAGAACAACATAGAATATAAACGAGAGGAAGACAAACCAGGAAAAGTTCACTGACTGGAGCAGCCAGTGGTGTTTGTGACCTAGGACATACAGCGGGAATTTAATGTAAAAATTTACATTTACAGTTCTCAAAACCATGTCTGCTCTCTGTAATGTACAAGTTGCAGTACTTAAAACATTTCTGTGCTGGGCTTATTACTGTTTGCTCAACAGAAAGTACAAAATCTTTTTTCATGCCTGCATCTGTTCAATTCTGTCTTAAATTCACATTGCTTGCTAAGTTTTCTGGCCTTCTTTGCCTCATAAAGCACAGGTACCCGCTAAGTTCCTTGGTGGTAGGGACTGACATTTTTCTCTCTCCAGGACAGGTGCCCTTCTATTCACAGCCTGGTAGACCGCTTTTAAGATCCCTGGGTGGCAATCCCATAACCAGTCGCTGCATGCTCTCCAAACAGCTAGAGCTGCTGCTCAGAAACTAAATTTTAACACAGAAGGAGTTCTAAGCAGATCCAAAATATTCTTAACTCTATTTCCTTAACTTCAAAACCTGTGGGTCTGAAAATTTATCACTAAAAGATCACCTTATGAGGACTAGTCTCGTGGACCAGGCAATGTGTCCTCATTGGTCTTATCTACTCTGCATTTGAAAGGAGAAAAATATATTGCTTTAAAAGCAAGAAACACAGTGATAAGTAAATACATATTAGTGTTTTTTCATGGAACGCAAATACACAAGATCAGTATGCAGAGTTTATCTTAGAGCAGCTTAAGAAAAAAAAACACAGAACAGTGAGGTTTGAGTATTATGAACTGAGAGCAGCTGCCATGAAGAAGAAAGAGGCCCCAGATTGGTCCCTGTTTCTCTCAGAAACAGGATTTCTCATAACTTCTGACTGTGTGTCCCAGCACAGGGACTGCAGCAATGTGCCAGAAATGCCAGGGAGAGGGTGTCTGATTGTCTTCAGGTCATTCTGTCTTCTATAGACCTCCTGTGCTTGTATCCTATTAGTGTATCAGGGAATAGCCTCAGGACATGGTATAAAAGTAGTCAGAAGTTTATACACTTCCAGGGTAACTTGGCTCCTCTTTGTGATGATACAGATTTTTTCACATGAAAAAAATCAAGAATTCATAGAAAATACCTACAAAAGTATGAGAGCAGCAAGTAGTTTTCTACTCACTCAGTAATAACTCAAGTCATAATCAAAGTTACATAATTACTTAAATTTTCTTTGAATGGCTAAATGTTAATTTACTTTCCTCCTCAATTCACCAACTCTTCTGTATTTCTTGACATACTCCATTACCTGTCTCAGGGCTTTCTGCAATGGCACTTGCCTCAGAAACTGGGGCTTTTGGGGAAGCCATATGAAGTCAGACAGATGGTTGGCCAAAACAGAAATACTGGTATTCCTACTGCCTTTCTGGCTGCACGAGGCGGGGGCACTCACCTCGGGACAGGCGTTCCAGCCCCTCATCAGCAGGGCGGAGATGGGCTTGGGGATGGAGTATCCAATGGGTGGGCGGATGTGGTGGTACGCCATGTCTGCCGCTGCTGCCGCTGCAAGCAAATAGCCCGACAGAAATCCATTAGCACCCAGCAACCACACACGTTCCCAGGAAAACAACCTATTTACTACTGAAATACACCCTGGCAGGTACAGAAAGGCTGAACCATCAAACCTGTAGATAAAGCCTTGTAGCTTAAAAGAGGCTTTCCAATCCATACTGTTTGTAAAGATAGCTAAGGTAGTCTATAACCCTGAATGGAAACACATTGCTGTTAAGACTGAGCATGGATGAAGACAACCTAATTTAGCATAAACCCTAAAAAAAAAAAGGCCTTTGGGGGAAAAAATGAGTTAACCTACAAATAAATTAAAAAAAAAAATATTATCTTCATTATTAAGACAGGGTGTCAGGTATACTCCAGTTGCAGATAAATTCATGACAGACTCAGATCTCTTAAAATAACCCATGGCTAGTTCTGTTACAGTCTAAAACAAAAATTAATTCTAAATGTTTCTTTAGTAAAAATCTAGTGAGTGCCTTTTTATAAGTGCAAGCCACTACTGACTGAGACAAAATTGCAAAAATGTTTTCCTAATTGGGTTAACACGTTTAGTGAATCCAAAGATATGGTTAGTCTCTCTCATTCCTTTTGAGCAAAATTTTTTCAAGTCAAAACAAATGTATTTTGAACGCATATCAAAAGCTAAGTAAAATCCTTTGTTTGCCTGACACTTTAAAATGATATGATCAGAGTATATGGGATATGCAGGGAACTGTAAGATTGCAACCATGGGATTGTAACAAGAATGGTCTAATTTTTTTAACCATATCCCATTCTCATCACAGTATTCATCATAAGAATTGATTAATTTCAGCCATTGTCTGTCCTCATTGCAGCTTTTGTCTGCATGATGATATTTCAGAATGTTAATATCAGATAAATCCTGTGATACTGTAACTATATGTAGACAGGAGGGGCAAACACAGTTTGCCTAATTTTGATTCCACTCTAAAGAAGTTTTGAAGACATGACTCAGATACTACTGGATTCATCTTTTGCTGGATTCATCTTTTGCCTAGCAGACATTATGAAAAGAAGGCAAATGCAAATCAGATTAAGATAGCAATGAAAAATGCTGCATTTTTTTCTGCCAAACATAATATAAGTGATATATTACCTATTGGCAAAACCTTGTCTAATCAAAGTCAATAGGATTTATTCCATCAGTTTAATGGGGTCAAAATTAGAAAAAGAAAGGGAGAAACACACTCTGTGACTCTGTATACTTCTATAATACTTTACAAAGTTTGTTTGTGTCACTATTGTTTCGGCTCTCCTTTCACAGTCAGTAGGCTTTTTCTTCAGCTAAAAAAATATATCTGTTAAAAAGTACTTTAGAATGGCTGAATTAAATGACGAGAATCCATTCTTCTCAAAAATGAGCAAAACAGAAAAGAGTTTAGGTGGTCCTCACAACTCTGATCATAGTGATGCTTTCCAGCTCTACTATGTGATATCCTTAAATGTCTGAGTATTTTCTGGTTTGACTGGTTGGTCAGATCCTGCCTTTCTTCTGGGTCACAGCAACTATAAGCCATGAGAGGAATCAATGATAGCCTACCTACAAAATGTTATTTCAATTTGTTCTTGTTTATGGATCAGGGAAACAACTGTAGTAACTGCAGAAGTTGATCAACATCTCCTATATTGGATACCTGTATGTTTATAATTGTAATGTGCCACTTCCTTGTGCAAGTGTCATCTTTGCATTATTTTTGCTATGTGGGATGCAATGGTTCAGTTTCTGAATCTAGTTTCACACCTGTAATTTCCAGACATGTATATCCCTGTGTTTCCCCACAAAACGCTACCCACAGCTTACATGCTGACAGTTTTACAGGTGTGAATTGAATGCCATCTGTGGAAAAAAGCTAAGGAAGAGGATCTTCAGATATCAGAGGGTGTCCTCTTGTCCCCTGAGCCTTCCAAAATGTCTTTTCAATGGAATATTGTACACCAGGTAACTGCCAACATCTGTTTCTACATGAAGACTGTGCCTAGAGCACCGAAGGATGCCTTTGCAGTCATGCCTTGTGCAAGCATACATGAGATATACATACCGCACGAATACAGAACTGAGCCATGGTTCTCCGGAAAACAGGATGGGATTGGCCTGGGAACCATTCATGGGTTTCTAACTTGATGAAGGACCCAGTCATCTCAACCACAGCTCAAGCAAGTGGGCAACAAACACATCAGCACATCTGCTGAAGAACCTCCATCCCAGCCACACAATCCCCAAAGGAAAACAGTGACAACAATGACAAAGATCAAACACATCATCCACCTGCACTGATCTGCAAAACTACTACTCTGTCTACGCTCTCTCACAAGCACTGCATCACCCCAGTAGGACTGTGTTTACGTAAAATACAGATCTTGTGCCTTCTGTGCGTATATTTGTGCTCCATGCTCACGCAGTCTCAGCCTGCTTGTGAATCCCAACTGCTTCCTAAACTGGCTACAAACCTGAATGGCACTTGCAGTGTAGCCTGGGCCTTAATAATATACCAATCTGATAATGACACAATTATCAGCCGGTTGCATTGAAGAAAGAAGCAAAGAAATAATCTCTATATTTAATAAATATTAAGTTTTGCATTCTCCAGATACTTCTCAGAACCATCATTCTTCATGTTTTTTTCACCTTGTTTATTTTACAGGTGATTGTTGAGCATGTTAATAGGTTTCCTTACTAACCAGAAGACATGCTGCAGGCTTTGGTTCCACAGGACTGCATGATGTGGACCTCAACAAGCATTATGTTTCACTTAATGATGAAGTGATTTAATTGGGGAATGCACCTGTTTTAATTTATCAAATAGAACATCTATTAAGTAGTGACTTTGATTCAATACCTATAAAAATGTTTATTCTTATTCATGAAATAGAAATCTGATGAATGGATATCTTATTCAGTGTAGAGCATACACTTATATACTTGGATACTGTACTAGATTCAGTAGAGAACATGGAATTGCTTTTGATGGGGTGATCACTTTTATTTCAATGGGTGACATCTAGTTTTCATTATAATCAAATTTTATAATCATATATTCTTTTAAATATCTAATTATTTCAATGAACTTCACCAGAATGGCTTCCTGGACTTCTAAGCCTGCACAAAGGTAACTCTAAACCAGAAAAAAAGTCAGTGATTCATAATTAGAGTTAGTGTTCTGCAGATAATACACAAAATTGTCATGAAGAAAATCCCTCACCTTGAAATACATACTTTGAGAAAAATATGGGATTTGTATTTAACTGAATAGTCGTTATCTGAACATATATCTTAAATGTGGGGCTTTTATATAGACTATAAAATATACAATACTCTCAAAGCTAAGCTGTTTTTTGCAGAACATATATATAAATCAGATGTGCACATTCAATATCTTTTTTTGTGCACAAATATATCTTTCACAAGCAGAACAGTTTGAGGTACCACAGAGACTAGGAACTAGCTGTAAACCATGACTCTTGCATCTAAAAAATCACTTGCTTTGTGGCCTTGTACAATGTCTCAGTTTCCTTATCCATGGAAGGGGGAAAATTACACTTACTTAGGCCACTGAGAGGACCAAAATTAGGTGGTAGGTGGGCTCACTTTAAGGAGAGCAGACCTGGATCAAACCTGAGCATTTTGGGAAAACTGCATCCCCATGTTTGTGGGCACAAACATGGTCTTTGGAAAATGTGTTTTATAATAGGATTCAGACAAACTGTTGGTGCTTTGGAGATAAGGAAGGACTCATCACTACAGTGGATGACAAGGAAAGAGCCCTTGCCTAGGCATAGTGTCTCAGCAAAGAAAGACGGGACAGAAAATGCTTCTCTATAAAGCTGCAGAAACAAAAGGCCAGCAAGCCCATGGACGTCAGGATAAAGGGACCTTATCATTCAGTTGATGTAATGCATCTTAAAAAAAAGGAGGGAAGGGGGAGAGAGAAACAGTACTCCTATACCTTTTTTTATGCCTTTTATTTCCTTTATGATGCTCCCAGTGAGCTTTAACTCCTCTTGAGTCTTCTAGTCCTATCTAGACCATAATTTGAACAGAGTAAAATGGTTAATTCAGAATTAACTGAGATTAATGTTAGAAATGGTAACCTTATAGAAAGCTGTGATAATACGGATGATGGTGTACAAGAACTGCACCCAGGAATGTACGGTTTGATCTTCAGTTAAATGGTCTTGAAACAAGGACCAGTGGAAAAGGAACACAAACACGAAAATGATTCAGAACTGAAACTCAGGTTCACAGCTAAAGGTATTTCATTTCTGGAACCTGAAGTGGAATTGAGTCAGACATTTGGCTTCTGCATCACTTTAGCAGTAGGAAATAAAGAAATATGAAAAACAGCTAATACAGCGTAGAAAGTCATATACAAAGCTGGCAATTGCCAATTGCCAATGATATTCATGACAGCTGCATTTTGCATGCGAGAGGCTGACCTTCTGAACATCACAAAGGCGCTCAAAGGAGTTTCATGGAGGTATAATCTCAAAATAGCAGAAAAGTGAATCTTTATTTGATGATTCCCCCAACAGAAACAAAAAACCAAACCAAGGAAGGAATCAATAAGTGAAACTTTGCATGTATCAAGTTAATATTATACAGTGTAGCTACTTCTCTACTTCAGAGAAATTTAAATATTAATTCATTGAGCATCTTACCTGGTTTCAGGTGAGCAAATGGAATTTCACCTGTTAACAGCTCCCAGAGGCACAAAGCATAGCTGAAAACATCGGCTTTTATGGTGTACCTTGTACACTGGGTGAACACCTCAGGGGCCATCCAGCGTAGGTTCTGTGCATCAGGAAATATCAATAATACATTAACAGTGTTTATTTCCTCATATATGTATCTTTTCCTGTATTTGTATATTTGTTTTCCTTTCTTTTCTTATTTCCTTGCCTCCATTGCTCCATAACATAACTGGTAAATTTGCCACGAAAAATTTTCACCTAGCTCACAAAGTCTAGGCAGCATATTATTGCACATTATACGTAACGGCGTTAGTATGGTAGCTGTCTCAATGCCATAAAGCCAGACCGATCAGGCTTTAAACATGAGAGTAGTGCTCTCAGTAGAATAGAATAAAAGCAGAACACCAGCCTCAAAGTGTGGAGACCACATCATAAGGTCCGAGCATGCCATATAATACCAATGAACTACTACTCCAGCTGCTAGATGGAAAAATTGATGACAACTGCATTGGGTCGGTGCCTTCTCTCTTGGGATCTCACTGCTTTCTGCAGAAGCCCATTCTGAGGCTGTTTCACAAGCAACCAGCCTTTCACTGGAGTGATGAGTTCAGGGTGTTTTTGCAGATTCCTTGCACCTCAGTAACTTAATCTACATTCTTTACAAGCCAGCCCTTCTCAGTGAGACGTCATCAAACCCTGGCAGGACCCAGGTCTGCAGCAGCAGTACTCACTCCTCACACAGTGAATGCCTACTGCAATTTGTTAAAAAGATGATTGCCAAACCCTGGTTTTAGGGTCCTATTCCCTATCACCCATCCTATCCCACAATTATTCATTATGATGATGCAAATTTTCATAACCATGGAGTGACACACAGAATGCATCTGACTAAAACTTATGAAGACAACAGTACTGTCTTGTAAAGCTGACTCTTTCTGCAATAGGCTTGTAATGGAGAAAAGAACTCTGAAAGAAAACCAGTGTTGAATAACTACTTCCCTATTAGAAATAGGAACCACCTGCCAGCAACATATGTATGTGAGTGGGGAAGGGTGGATTTAAAAAAAGACACTTTAGTAAGGATTTTTGGGGCAATAGAGCTCCAAAGATGACCTTATAAAGCATTATTTTCTGTTGCAGATCTTATATATTCACTCATCTCTACTATTAAAGAGACTTAAAGGGAGAAAAAAAAACCACAAAGAAACATTAAGAGACATAAAATACTATACCAGTTCATCTTTTCCAACAAAAATATTTCTAATATCATTTTCTTCTAAACTGAGTTTGCTTGTATGTTTTATACTAATTATGTGGAACAAAACAAGAAACAAACCCCAGGTTGTTTTGTCATATTGTCTTCATCCAGGGACTGCAAAAATCTAGATTCTGAAACACACAGAACAACAACAACAACAAATTACTGTCAAGCCAATACAGATACCCACCTTATTATACAAAAGTCTTGGTACAAAGTGTTTTGTGTTTTTTTGTTGTTGTTTTTTTTGTTTGTTTTTTGTTTTTTAATAACTCTGGGGTTTTGAGAGTCCAGGAGAACTGTGATAGTTGTTTTTCAACAAGGATGCGTACAGACAATGAGTCTTCTGAAACCTGCATGCCAAATTCAGCACTGGCATAAATCTACCAAGCTCCATCAACATTAATAGTAGTTTACAGCAGCTGAGGATCCAGCCCAGAATTTGTGACCTCATGGTTACTTGTACTGGTTAATATAACTGTATCTAGATTTACAACAAACAGTCACTGAGCCCTGCATCAAAATGCAATCCCATAGAAGCCTATCAGTCCTATTAAATGTCAGTCCACCAAAAAATGACAAGATCGTGCATGAATATAATGAAGGTGGTATATGCTACATTATGTGGTACATAAATAAGTCCCCAAGGAGGACTTAGATGCCTTTCACATATCTGTATGAATAAGAGTATTGTCAGCAAAGTCCCAGACAAGCAGCTACTCCTATGTGGTCCAAGCCTTGTGCTATCTCCTTGTTTCAGCAGGCTGGATAATAGCAGGTCTGGGTCAGCACTCGGTCCCTCATATATATGGTTGTGCTGCCACCACCCTCCTCCTATATTAAGCTGATGTTCATACATCTCTACTGATCACATCTCTGGTGATACTGCACAGTGACAATGGCCATGTCTTAAGTCAAGTAGTTCTTGAGGAGTTAGGTCAAGCCCAGCTCCCTAAACTCCACCCTTGCACCAACAAGAATGCATTCCCATGGAGCTTGACTGATAAACATCAAGACAATGCGTGAAATACTGATGCATAAAGTATAGCCTAGTGTAATTTTGAACACAAAGTTACTAAGGTCCATAATGAGCTACATTCTGCTCTTTTAACTAAAATGAAAGAAACCTGTCCTATTGCCATGGGGCTTGGCTGCCAACAGGCAGACTTGCACAATAACACCATCCTCACATCCTGAGCGCTTGCCATGAAAGAGGAGGGCACATCTTCTATTACAGGCATTTTCACTCAACTTCTCCCTCTAACCTACTGCTAGAACTTACTCAAACTGAGATGTACCCATCTCACTATCGTCTGGGCCTCCTTCTCAGATAAACAGTGGGGTAGTCCACAGCACCTGCTAACTTAGGTGAGACAAAAAGCAGGGGCATTCTCATCCCTAAAAGCCTTTTGTGTCCTCTCATAATAACAAAATGAAGAGCAACCTCCTCAGCATTTTCTTAGTCAGCACATGTTTACTTTTAGAGAATTTGAGGTTGATTTATAAATGTTTCATAAAAAGTCCTTACCTCCAAAATCAGCAACAACTGCATGACCATCCTCATACAGGAGAATATTGTGGCTGGGGAAAAGAAAATTATTATAGGTAACTGTTTAATAGTGTCTTAAAGATGGTGAAAATTTTACAGTTTTTGGTTCATAGCTAAACTCTTGAGGAGTTCAAATCACCTGCTTAAGTAGATAAATGTCTATAGATAAACCACTTTTACCTACGTCTCATATTTATTGTTATAAAGTACACATTAACTCTGAGAAGGCAAACCCAATAGCTTCATAAATGAGAATGCCAGTTTCTAATCAATACTAGACCAAAACAATTTATGTAATTAGTAATAGATCAAGTATAACAGCTTTATTCAATATGTGCACTGAATCGCAGTCGTGAAGTGAAAAAGATGGTATTTGAATATAAACATAGTGATGGACTTTAAATAAAATTACATGGACTGATTCTTTTCTCTTTTAAGGCTTACATAAATGTAAATTCACATTGATAATTCCTAATTTATGCTGATGTATAGAAGGGAAGGAACAGATCTGAAGAGTCCGTATAGAATGGATCACTAGAAGCCATAAGAAATCCACTAGCTGAGGTGAAAAAATGATGACACAATAGTAAGTCCTATTCAATTTAATAACCATGCTTAATATTGCAAATGTTACTTTCATGAGAGAAAGGTACTTTATTTCTTAAAGTAGCTCCATTTGTTTATGAAAAGAAGACATGTTATTCATCCTGCAGCTTATCTCAGCATCTAGGATGGAAGCTTCTCCCTGCTGGCAGTAATGGAGCTTTGTCAGTTGCTAGAGGTAAGATTTCACTCCCACCCTCCATTTGTGTTCCAGTTCTACAGTGTCCCTTTTTATAACGTCTTTGAGAGCTAGCAGAGCACAACTGATGACATGTGCTAAGTTACTTTGGACCTGAATCAAGTCTCAGGTAAAGTGTCAGATTTCCATCTGCTTAATAAGTCAGGAGCACTTAGTGATTTTTTACTCTTTCACCTTATTGTCTATGTCGTAAGCATAAAGTATTGTTCATTATTGGACATCAAAAGAACCACATTTTGCATTTATTCTTAAAAATTACACTTGCAAAAATTACAGTGCATTTTGACTGTGGTAGTGGAACCTCTTTGTGGCATCTCTTTCCAAAGTTCCCTAGGCAAACTGGTCCATATGATGAAATTAGCATTCTTCGAGACTGGTAGCAAGGAAGGATTTGGGGCAATGGCTGGTGCCCTGTGGAGACTGGAGCCCATGCTGCTCAGGACTGTGGTCGGAGCTGTGGTTTAATCAAGCAGGATTTCACAGGCAGGGAAGCTGTGGAACCCAAAGCCTCTGG